GCGGAACCGGAGAAGTGGGGCGCGGGTCGGCGGGAGCACGCCGGCGCGCTCGCGGGCTGGCGGCCACCCACGTGCGGCGGAGGCTGCCCGAGTCGCGGCGGAGTCGCGAGCGCAGAAGCTTCTGCGGGAGGCCGGGCTTTGTCCCCGAGGGGAGCGCGGGCGGAAGAGCGTGCACCCGGCGCCTCTGTCGGCCCGCTGGGCTCGTGGCGCCGGGCGGCCTCCTGCTCGGGACGGGTCGGGTTGGCTCCGCGGTCGGCCCCCGGCGCCCGGCACGTTTCCGGCGGGAGACGTTAGGAGCGCTGTAGTTTTCCGCAATAGTGGGGACCAGCGCCGCGGCTCCGCTCTCCGCTCACCGCTCTCTCTGAGGTTTCCCCGCCGGGCAGCCAGGGCACGTGGACTCCGCCGCAGAGAGCACCTGCGTTGTAGCTTCCCCGTGCGGCTCAGTACTCTCAGCCCGGGCGGCAGGAGCTTCTCCTGAGCACGTGGAAGGTGCCGGTTCTGTGCGCGCTGCTTCCGGCACTGCCTCAGCTAACCCTCCCTGGACCTGTTCACGCAGAGGATCAGGCAGGAGCCTCCAGGTCCGCGGTTCCTGATAGCACCGCGGGAGTCCTGCTGGCCACAGACCCATCTAGACTGAGCCCTCCTTCCACTCTTCCCAGGAAGGCACGGGGAGACCCAGCCCTGAGGTCCTAAACGGTGTCCCAGGGCAGCCCCACAGGGAAGGGGGCGGGCGTTTGGTTAGGACAGTCAGTGGCCGTCAGGAAGGCTCCCCAGGAAGCGCGTGGCACAGCCCAGGTTTCCCCATGCTGCTGACTGCGATGAGGGCAGGGGCCGGCTCTTCCTGACTGCCCTGTGGCAGGAACTTGTCCTGCTTGCTTACGCGGCAAGGCCGGCAGGTACTGCCTGGAAAGTTCTTCATGGGCTGCTGCCTTCAGGGTGGCGCACTGGGAGTGGCTCCCGAAGCAGGTACTGGGCAAGTCCCAACCAGATCCCTTGCTACCATCAGAGGGCCAGGGCAGGCACGGTGGGAACGGAGGGCTCACGCCCCTGGTCCCTGGTTCGCACCCCCGGGCCCTGGCTCCCACCCCCGGGCCCTGGCTCGACTGCCAGCACCCTCCTTGGGCTGCAGGACTGTCTCACTTGCATCCTATGGAGTGTTGCGTGTACCTCCAGCAGCCCTGATCTGCAGGTCCCAGGTTGGTTTGACGAATCTGTGTGATTTCATGGTTCTGTGGACTCAAAAACCTGAACTGAGTGAATCCCTGAGCTCTCGCCAGGGTCGACTGTGGTAGGGGGAGATGTGCCCCAGAGGGTCCTTGTTGAGTCTGACACCAGTGGGCAGAGGGGCAGGGAAGCTATGCCAGGAGAACCTGCTCCCTCTGTGGTGGCATCCGACACGTAGGGACAGAAGCCACACAAACACCGTTGCCTAAGCCATGTGACCTCCTGGTTCTCCAGTGTGCCAGAGAGCCGACCCCTTGCTGGACTTTGGAAGGGAGGCTGTGATCGCCGATCCTCAGAGCTCGGGCACTGCAGGGCTCTGCGCCTCTGGCCCAAGATCGGCCTCAGCGGGATCTGGGGAGTGTGAGAGCAGGCTCTGCGCTGGACAGTTGGCAGTAAGTGGCGGGCTCTGCCTTTCAGGCAGGGCGGTGCGCCGGCGGTGGCTCACGGCTCACGGCTCAGGACACCAGGGCTCTGTGTGACTCAGAGGAGCCTGGGGGCCCAGCTGTGTGCAGGAGGAGCCCTGCCACCTGCCTGCCTGCCTGCCTGCCTGCCTGCCTGTGGGACCTGCGACTGTGTCCTGCGGTTGGTGCTGCAGAGGGAGGGGCCGGGGCAGGGCAGCGTGGTCTGCTGGCTCCCCGGTACTGTCCCTGCAGCCTGCTGTCCTCCCGTGCCTGGACCTCTGCCTCCCCAGCACCCCTCCTTCACTTCCCCTGGGTAGCCACAGTGCAGCGCCTCCTTCCTGCCCCTGTTCACAAAATTAGAGTCTTGGGTACTGTTTCTGGTGGGAAGTGGATGCTCTCTCTTCCTTACACAGAGCTACGTCTGACCTCTTTGTTCTGAGACAGGCTCTCAGTAAGTCAGAGTTACCTAGGCTGGGTTTTGACTTACAATCCTCCTGCCTCAGCCTCCCAGAGTGCTGAGATTACAGGCGGATGCCACAATGCCCAGTTGACTGGGTGCTTTTGAAAACCAGGTGCCTTTTGTAAGAGGCACTCAGAGTGGCCAGTAACTGAGAATCAGGTGTCTGGTAGGGCTTGCCGTCACTTGGGGCTTCACTTGGCAGAACCTGAGACCCCATTCCAGGGACTGGGGTTTCTTTGCATCTTCTTCCTATGCCTGCCTGGGCTCTGCCTGGGCACCCCCTTACCCAGCCAGGCTGTACCTGTGTTCAGTGACATTTTCATCTGGCCAGCTGTGGGGTTTCAAGGCAGTGACAACCCTGGCACTGTTCAGTGCTTCCCCACGTGCAAGAAGGCCCATGTCACAACCACACTTTGTACACTTACTCACCAGTGGCCAGGGCTACCAGAGGAGCAGGGGACTCAGGGCAAAGCGTGACACCTTGGCCCACCAATCGGATGAGCTGAGGGCAGGTGTAGGCAGTTGTGAGGGGCTCAGACGTATGAAGCTGAGGGTCGGGGCTAGTGCTGGCCCTACGAGCCTGCATTTCTCACGAACCCCACTGGTGCCCAGATCCTATGTTGAAGGCTGAATTCTTCACCTCATGGCATTGTGCCATGTTGCAGTGGGGAAACTGAGGCTCAGAGAGGCCTGTGATCCACGTGAGAGTGCAAGCACTTGCCTGGGCCAGGGACAGCCTCCACCCAACCTCTCTGCTGCCTGGATCTGCCTTGAAAGGTGGGGAGGGCTTCCCACTCCCCAGAGAGAACTTGATGAGTTTAAGAGGAAGAAATGCCAGCCTCCCAGGGTACACCCCACTCTGCCTGCAGGCTGAGTCAACAAATGCTCCGGGAGGGACCCTGTGCCCGGGATCTCTCCAGATCCTTCCGTGTAGGTCTCCATGCAAAGCAGCTGGCTTCCTAGGCCTCACCTGCATGTGGTCACCAGGCATGCAAACTAGGCCATGCTAGGGGCCATGGTGGCCACCTCAGTCCTGCCCCCGGTGCCTGCTCTGTAAGATGCAAAAGCGCCCTGCAGAACTCACCATTCAGAAAGAATTTAGGAGAGGAGGGAAGAGTCTGGCTCTTCTGGTGTTTGGCTGGGGCTGGGGAAGACCCACAAGGGGGACTGGCTGCATGTGTTTGCCTGTGACCAGTGGCCTCAGCAGTGAGCGGAAAGCATGGCTTTGCCTCCTCCGACTCCTAGCTGGAGTTGGGAGAGAAGAAATGAGACCATGAGTATTCCCCAGATGCCGAGGTCCAAATGGGACCTGGGAACTGGGCCTGTGGGCATTGGGAAACATGGAAGGGGCACCCAGCTCCAGGCCTTTACAGGGACCCAGGCATGAAGAGCAGGCCAGCCCATACAGCACCAATGGTTAAGCTTTGCTTTTGGAAAGCTGTGTGCTTTGTGGATGGTCCCCCTGCTGGAAACCAAGTGATGGGACAGAAGGAAACACATCAGCAGAGAGGACATGCAAATGTGCAGAGCAGGGCCCCTGCTTTCAAAGAACACTGGGCGGCTCCTGCCTCGCACTCAGTGATGTTGGGCTCTGGTGGAGGAGGAGGCAGGGCTGGCTCGATGCTTCCCAGAAGCCATTGCCAGATGCTCTGGGCAGACACAGCAAAGCCAATGCTTGCTGCCCGCAAGATGCAGTGTGGGGGACCAGGAAGGGTGCTGTGGCTTTCGTGGCCTCCTAGGACAACAAGCACAGGCACAGTGTACCTGTGCACACGCATCTGCCCAGGAGCCTGAAGCAGAGTGTTTCAAGGAGCCTGAAGGCAGGAGAGCCTCGGGGAGCGAATTCCCTCAGCCTCTGTCTGTGGCCGGCCAGGCCCTGGGGGCAGGTGCTGCCCGCCCACGCCCAGAGCCACTGCGTGCCCCATCCACGGCTCAGAGGGCGCCAAGTCCAGAAAGCCTCTGTCACACACACCCCTATACCTTGTTCCACTGTCCCCGCAGAGTGTTTTTCTTTTTTCTTTGTCTTTGGCATAGGGGATTAAACCCAGGGCCTTTGCACTGAGCTACGTCTCCAGCACCTACCCCCTTTAACTTTTAATCTCGAGACAGGGTCTCTTGTACTAGCTCAGCTGCCTGCCCAGGGTCCTCCTGCCTCAGCCTGGCGAGTGCTAGCTTTATAAGCTGCATCACCGTGCCCAGGAGCTGAGTGCTAGCTGCTAGTCCCTTCTGGAGTCAGGGCTCAGGTGACACCTTGCTGTCACCTTCTGGGGCTCCTGGGATGGCACTGTGTGACAAGAACGTGTCATCTCCCAGTCCTGGAGGCTGGAAGTCCTGGCTGGAGGTGTCCACAGGGTCAGCTCCGTGCTGCAAGGAAGGGGCTGCCTGCCACATTCCTCCTTCCCAGCATGCCTTAGTCCTGCTTGCCCTTTTAGCAGGACTTACTGGATTAGGCCATCCACTGACCTCGCTTAATCGCCTTTCAAGGCTCATCGCCACACTTCTGAGGTTGTGGGGCAGGCTTGCACACAACTGTTGCAAGGACACGGCTGAGCCCTGAGGGCCAGGTAGGGTGTGCCCGGCGGGGGCGCCATTGCGGAGAGCAGGTGTTCCTGTCATCTCTGCTGCGTGCTTCGCAATGGGCTCACTATGGTGGGAAAGCCTGGTGAGGCCCGAGTGGCTGCCACGCAGGTCTGGGAAGTCTTGGGGCACCCCTGTGTCTCTGAGAATGGGCAACGCCCTCTTTTTATTTATTTATCTTTGTGGTACAGCACTAGGAGTTGAACGCAGGGCCTTCACGCTGAGCTACACTCCCCAGCCCTTTATTTTTTATTTCTGAGACAGGGTCCTCCCTAAGTTGCTAAATTGTCCCGGCTAGACTCGAACTTGAGAGTTCTGGGATTACAGGTGTGCGCCACCGCACCTGGCTAAGTACCACCTGTTCTAAAAATAATGTGGGTGTTTCAGAAGTCCTGCCCAGAGCCAGAAATGCAGCAGTTACTCAACAAGGGCTGGGCTCCTCTGGCAGTAGGGACGGGGACACGGGCCTGCGTCTTCCTGGTAACTGCTTGAGGGCCTGGGTGCAGCTTGGCTTGGCATCTTCAGCCACCTGCCATGGTTGCGAGTGCAGCTTCTGCAGGATGAGGGAGTGCGTGGTATGGGCCGTCGCCAGGTGGCCTCCGGGATTATCTCCCCTTCCTCATCCTCCACAGCCTCCAAACCCTAGAGCGAGATGAGGAGGTTTGCGTGCTAAGTTGGGTTTAAGGAAGACTCAGGTCTGATGTAGGGTGGCAGGAGGCTCCTGCAGGCAGAGCAGAGGCCTCTGGGAAGGGGCCCAGGGCCAGCAGCTCCTGTGGGCTTTGTCCCTCCTCTGTCCCCAGCTGTCTGACCTGTAGTGAGTGGGCTCCGCCCTCACTGCCATTCCCGAAGCCCAGCCACCAAAGAGGTTTCCCTTCTCTTTTTCTGACAAGAGCCTGAGGTCGTGTCTCACCCAGGCTGCTTCAGGGGCACCATGACCTTGGGCCTGGGTCTGGTTTGAGGCCGCTCTAAATTTGGGGAGGGGGCTGTCAGGGATGCCTGCACCAGGAGACCCAGCACTGTACAGGCAGGCTGGCCCTTGGCTAACCCAGCACATGCACGCGGGCATCTTTGCAAGAGCCTTCAGTGTTGGGGGCACACACGGCTTCACTAACCAGAACCTCTTCTCACAGAACAAATAGGGCAGCTGGACTTCTTCTCGGCCGCTGCTGTTGCCAGGCCTGCTCTGCCCCTGCTGCCGGAGGCCTTCCCGCCAGGTCTGGAGATGCCCCAGCACGCGGTAGGGGACAAGCGCTTCACCTCAGTGGCCCAGCTCCTCTCCAGCAGCGCCGTCCCGGCCGCTGAGAATGGGCTGGAGCACGGCCCTCGGGGCAGCAGGGCCTCCCCTTGCTCCGAGCGCGCCGCCGTGCAGAGCCCCCTGGACCCCTGCAGCCAGCCCCTCTGCCAGCGCCAGGCAGAGAAGCACAGCTGCCAGGCGGCTCCCACGGTGCAGTACGTCTCAGCGGGGCCCGAGGACGCCGCGTGCGGCTGGCAGGGCTTTGCGCCCGAGTGCCTGCAGGTCTTCAACACGCCCAAGGGCTTCCTGCTCTTCCTGTGCGCAGCCTCCTTCCTGCAAGGCATGACAGTGAACGGTTTCATCAACACGGTCATCACCTCCATCGAGCGGCGCTACGACCTGCACAGCTACCAGAGCGGGCTCATCGCCAGCTCCTACGACATCGCTGCCTGTCTCTGCCTTACCTTTGTCAGCTACTTTGGGGGCAGCGGACACAAGCCGCGCTGGCTGGGCTGGGGTGTGCTGGTCCTGGGCGCAGGGTCACTGGTGTTTGCACTGCCCCACTTCATCTCTGGCCGCTACGAGGTGGAGAGGGATGAGGAGGTGGGGACGTGCCCAGCCAACCGGAGTACCATGTGTATGGACAGCATCTCGGACCTGGCCCACTACCGGCTGGTCTTCATGCTGGGCCAGTTCCTGCATGGCATGGGCGCCACGCCCCTCTACACGCTGGGCGTTACCTACCTGGATGAGAACGTCAAGTCCAGCTACTCGCCCGTCTACATTGGTGAGTGGAAGGGCTGGGGTGGGGAGAGAGGGCTGAGGGAGAGAGTGGCAGTGACCAGCCCGAGCGGTGCCTGCAGGGAGCTGCATCCCCAGCCCTTCTGTGTGTTCCTGGTGCCCGCACCCGTGAAGGCAGCCAAGTGATGTCACCTGAGCCCCCGAGGAGGGGGAGGTGTGCCACCTTTCTCATGAAGCCCCCAAGGGAAACCCAGCTGACTCCCGCTCACCTCAGGGCCCCAGGGGCAGCGGGGAGGCCCAGTGAGCCAGCGACAGATGGCCGGGTCGAGCCCCACTTCTGCTGTCTCTGGTCACATGGGGTGGCAAATAGAGGGAACTCAGAAGAATGTCTCCTGCTGGGCTGGCCTCACCTTCTTTTCTTTGACCCTCTGGCTGGCCTGGCTGGCCTGGCAGGGTCAGCTCGGAGACACAGAGACAGCTCTTCCAGGCTGGACTTGTAACAATCGCAGCTTCCCTGTTCACCTAGTGGTTGCTGTGCTGGGGACCAAGGGCTCGTGTCCTCCAGCAAGGGGAAGCTGCCTGTCCTGTCCTTCCAAAACCCAGGTGAGGGATGCCGGGGGAGGGTGGGCTGAGGGGTGCAGGGCCTCCTGGCCCTTCACTCTCACCCACTCTCTCCGTGTGAGGCTGTGGAGCTTCGAAGACGCTGCCCTCACCGTGTACACCAGGCTGCATTGACTGAGGCTCTCATGGCCTTCACATGCACATGGCAGAAATTATGAAAAGTTGGTGCCGCCTGGGCCTCAGACAAGGCACAGGCCCTGGGGTGCAGACAGGCATAGAAACACGGGTGCAGAGGCCCTCTCAGGAGGTGACCGTCGGGGGGGTGACAGCCGTTCTGCTTGCCTTCCAGCCATCTTTTACACTGCAGCCATCCTGGGCCCTGCTGCCGGGTACCTGATTGGAGGCACCATGCTGAATGTCTACGTGGAAGTGGGTCAACGGTGAGTGACCTGGGTGTCGTCCTACCTGTCTCAGGGGTCTGAGGGTCCCATGGGTCCCTAAAAGGTGTTTCTGACACAGCAGAGTCCTCGGTGCAAGGAACGGGTTCATGGCTCGGCTGAGCAGGA